ACACACACACACACACACACACACACACACACACACACACACAGATTCTAGTACCTCTCCACTGGCCTGAAGAGTCAGAATCTCTGGGGTAGGACTCTGGCATCTGGAGCTAGGAAATGCTGATGATGCGGGCCAGGAGGTGTGTATTTGAGCATCTCTTTTTCTGGGTCACTCAGTCCACGTGAAGACTTTGGCCTGGCCTTTCTAAAGTTCTGCACCAGCCTCCACGTCCTGGTATGGCTTTCTGATGTGGGCCTATGGCTGGGATGTGGTGGAAACCTAAGCAGCCTGTCCCCTTCATGTGTGTGTGGCTTCCACCACTTGCATCTCAGCAGCTCCAGCCCACAGGGGAGCAGATCCCCAGACCCTCCCCAAGCTCTTCTCCAAAGCAGGAACCACTTGGCATCAACAGATGCCTTTTGTCCCCGTGGAGCGAGACCAGGACATGCATAAATGCAGTTGTGAAGGCAATTTTTCTCAGACAGGAACATATAAGACAATTCCTCAGCATTCAAATTATTATAAAGAGCCGAGTTCCACTTCAAAGGGGGCTAATTTAATAAGAGGAAGAGCTGGGCCTCCGAGGAATTCTAATTAGATTTCTTTCCACACCCGCCTTGCGTATTTTTCTGAAGAGCAGCCAGGGCGGCTAGATTGTGTTGTGTTTGGGTCCAGTGTGAAGAAGCTGTGAAGCCAGACCTAGCCAGGGAAGGCCATCCATCTGCCTTGAGCCTGACAGCCCAGCAGGAGCAGGGCCTGGCTACCACCAAAGTCAACAGGATTCAGGGCAGCAGGAATGAGGAGGAGCTGGGGAGGGGGCTTGGGGTTGCAGACGGTTTCCTGTACCAGTCTGGGGACATGGTGGGTGGGGTGGGCTAGGAGAGGGAGGTCTGGAGCCAAACTGCCCGTGTTTGAATCCCAGTCCTTCCCTTTTTTAGCTGTGTGCCTGTTATTCCTCTCCATAGCTCCTCAGTTTCTTAATCTGTGAAACGGGGCTAAGGATAGAAATCACTCCATCAGGCACTTGGGAGCATTATGTATGCTGGGGCACATAGAGGGCTAGGATAACACCTGGCACAGGGAATTATTGTTATTCCTCTCTAAAATAAGGAGATCAAAGATGGGAAGGGCTTCCCAAGGTCAGGGCTGATTTAATTTTGCAGGAACCCCTTGGACTCAGAAGTCAGGTTGGAGAAACACCTGGCAGAGGATCCATCTCTTCTATGGTGACAAGGCCACAGAAACCTTCGCTCCAATCCTAGCTTTGTCCCTTACTAGCTGTGTGACTTTGGACAAATTGCTTTACCTCTCTGAGCTTCCATGTCTTCTATCAAGGAATGATAATGATGATAAACTCAAACAAACGAAATTTGCATGGGGCGTGGCTCATAACGGGGCCTTGATGAACGTTATGATCAAAATCAGTCATTCTCTAAAGCAAATATTTCCACATATTTCCACCTCTGGAGTTTGCACATGTCTTACAATTGATTAGTGCGGACTTACAGTTGCTGTTGCCTGGGCAAACACAGAAAAGCTTTCGTATCAACACTTGCAGAATTGGAGGGAGTGGCTTGGTAGAAAATCCGAGGGGAAATTAGGAACAAATGGTCATGGGAGGGATGTGGGGAAATGGTGACTGACGTGTTTAGCAGCGTTGCCCACATAGGAGTCACAAGTGAGCCAATGGATTGTTTAAGCCCCGGGGTTCAAGACCAGCTTGGGCAACTTGATGAGATCCCATCTCTATTATTAAACAACAACAACAACAAAAAACAGAAAACAAACCCCCCAAATAAACAAACAAAACCCCACGAAAGCGAGCCAGCACCGCACGATGACAAAGCCGGGCTGAGAGCCCAGCACTCCTCGCCTCTGCTTCCTTCGTGGAATCGTTTACAAAATGCCACGTCACCAGAGCTCTTGAAGGTAAGACGGCAATATTACCTGGGAAAACATGGACTCCAATGACTAAGTTGAAAGGAATTCAGAAGGGCCTGGCTGTGACTGTGATGCAGCTTTCGGGAGATGGTAACAAATTTAGGTGCTTTATTGTTTCATTTTATGTATAGGCAAGAGTGATAGATGAAAACCCACATCTAAGTTGAAAAAGCTTTCTCTAAGGATGTAATCGAAATTCTAAGTGATGAGAAAGCGTTGAATCCTGGTTTATTTTGCAGAGTTTTCCATGCTGAATGGTACATAAATTCATGCTGTGTTTTATGATCAATGTTGTCTTAGGTTTGATGACTTTTGATCGATTTTTCATCTTCTCACACAAACCTAACTACATTGGGACAAAGAGGATGTTGGCCCCGCTTGTTCTGAGTATGGCTTGAGCCTGGTGCTGCGCTCTGCATTTTACACCGTATTTCACCGATTCCTCCTGTCTTAGTCCATTTGGGCTGCCATCAAGGAATACCGGAGACTGGGTAATTTACAAAGAAAAGAGGTTTATTTGGCTCACAGTTCTGCAGGCTGTGCAAGAAGCATGGCACCAGGGTTTGCTTTTGGTGAGGACTTCAGGAGCTTCTAATCATGGCAGAAGGGGATGGGGAGCTGGAGTGTCCCATAATGAGAGAAGAAGGGAGCAAAAGAGAAAGGGGAGGAAGGTGCCAGGCTCTTTTCAACAATCAATTTTCCTGTGAACTAGTAGAGCAAAAATTCACTCGTTTCTGCAGGATGGCACGAAGCCACTCATGAGGGATCCATCCCCATGACCCAAAGCCCTCCCACTAAACCCCATCTCCATCTTGGGGGATCAGATTTCAACATGAGATTTGGAGGGGACAGATATCCAAACTCTATCACCTCTCAACGAGCTCATAAAGAATTTTCCTCTTCATTTTGCAGACGAACTGAGGGCTCACACAGGAAATGTCAGCCTAAGATTTCCAGGCAAGAACTGGATCCTGGATTGGAATGCATCGAGCATGTGGCTCTATCCTGAGGGTGGAGGTAAGAGGTATGGCCTCCCTCCAGAAGTTTCCCTTCTGCTTTGTGCAATGCTACCACCCAGGAATCCCTCTGTGGCCTGTGTAAGACCTCTTGGATCCACGGTCAAGGCCAACAGCACCAAGACCCAAAGCCTGGAGTCATCATTTATCAAGCAATACATAATTACCATTTATTGGGTGCTCAGGAGGCAGGTCAGTGACAGAAGCTGTATTGAATTAGGTGCCAAGAGATATGGGTTCTAATTCCAGTGACGTCATTCACTCGCTGTGTGGTCTTGGCCAAGTCACTTAACTTCTCTGGGCCTCAGTTTGGTCATCTGTAAAGTAAATACATCACAGTGGGATGTTGGTAGGGTCCCTTCCAATTGTAACAAATCTGTCTTTTATGCAGGTCTTGGGGGCTTGGAGACCTTGACAATGGATTTAGTCCAGCTGGAGTCAGGCAGGAGCTCTGGAAGTCTCTGATGGACATGGGGAAGCCATTGGCCTTCAAGTATAGGGTCAGTGCAGGATGGATGGAGAACAAAAACACACAGGCTTCTTGCACGCTGGGACACCAGGATCTGGCACCTCCTAAGGATCTCCTCCTGTCCTGGGAGGGATTTTGGGCCCCCGGTGATGTTTGCACAGGAAAAGGTCTGTGGGCAGCCCAGGCTTAGGAACTTTTTTGATAAAACAGCACTTGAGCCACATTCTTTAGTGTTTCACCTCATGCTAATCTTGTGCAGGACTGAAGGTGTGTTAGGGCTGGAAGGGGCTCCAGGGACTGGTTCTCACTGGTTTGTGGAGGAGGAAGCAGTTATGTAACTTAGGCAGCTGTGTCTTTGTTCACTTCCCAAGTCAACTGTAGAGTCCTGGGGAGAAGGGACCTGCTTGTTTCCCCAGGAGCTGTCACTGGGCTAAACAAGGAGGCGAAGAGGCCTCTGCTGCTGCACGTAGCCTTACCATGCCTGAGACAACTAGAACCATTAACATTCTCAGGCTCGGCCTCCGAGTAGCTGGGATTACAGGTGTGCACCACCACACCTGGCTAATTTTTGTAGTTTTAGTAGAGACAGGGTTTACCATGTTGGCCAGGCTGGTCTCAAACTCCTGACCTCAGGCGATCCACCCTGGCTGTGTGACTTTGGGCAAGTGACTGACTTCTCTGGGTCTCTGTTTCCTTACAGGTAAAAGGGGGATGATAATGATAACACTGAGGATTGAATGAATGAAGAAATGTCAAGTGTTTGGCATCAGGCCTCCCCTGGTGTCAGGAACTCAGAGTTGGAGTTCCCCAAGTGTAGCATTGTTGTCAGGGTTACCATCGTGACTCTGGGGCAGCCATCCCCTGCCCCCTTCCCTCTTCGGGTACCCCAGAGCCATAGAGCAGGCCAGCAGGGCTTTCAGGGGCATTGGGATTTTCAGACAGTAGCATAGCGGTTGTCCTCCATTTCCCTGGCCAGGGCAGGTCCAGTGGGGCTGGCCAGCAGCCCCTGCTCTCAGGATCCGGGTGGAGTTTCATTAGTAGGAAAGGCTGAATCCAGGCACCTGCACACCTCCAGGAGGGAGTGTGGCTCCCAATGCCTGTCTGGGGACATTGCATCAAAGGTTCCTTTCCACAGGCTCAATCTTCAGATGCCTCAGCCCTCCCCGAGCCCTGACCACAGGCCAAATGGCGCTGGGCCACAGCATCAGGGTTCTCCAGCAACTCCGTCCTCCAGGGAGGAAGAGGTGGTGAATTTCCGAGCTGGGACAGAGCGCAGAGTGGCTGGAGCAGGCCAGCACCTCGCCTCATGTACTTGGAGAACCTGGAGACATCAGGCAGCAAATGAGGAGCATTTTGAGGCTTTCCAATTTCTTTTTTTAATTAATTAATTAGTTAATTAAGTTTTTTAATTGGATTTTTTCTTCAAGTTCTCATGACTGATTTCCTTAAGGTTGCGACACATGAACACATGTTTCCTCCAAGGAAATTTAGAGAACTCAGGTTAGCAAAAAGAAGAAAATGAAAGTCCTCCATCAACTTACAATCTGAGGATAATGTCCTTTAATGTTTTCTTCTTCCTGTCTTTTTTCTGTGAGCAGATAGACAAACAGGCTTTAAAAATATACCTTGAAAATAGAAGGATTCTCTATGTGAAGTCCTTAGAATATTGCCTAGCCCATAGTGAGTACTCAATAAACTTTTACTGTTACTATTATTTCTACTTTATAGCCTGATTTTTCTCTCTTAAACGGAATTTCAGCTTCATGAGAATTAGAACCTTGTATACCTCATTAACCTCTATTAATCTAGTTCTTAGCACATAATAGGTGCTCAATAAATATTTTAAATAGATGAAAGAATAAACATTTTTCCATCTCATTAGATTCATCTGTAATATCTAATGACACCATAATAATCCAGTGCTTAATTTGTTTTTGAACTTGGCTGGTGATTGTTTGAAAAAACCACTCCCAACCTCCTAACTCTCCATCTCAGCCAATCACCTTATCCCGGACCTCATCCCCACCTTAACGAGATGGAGGCTGCTGGGTTCCCCAGAGCTTTTGGGGACCCAGCGTCGCTTCAGAGAAGCCAGAAGCCAGCCTGTGGGCTGCCAGTGCCCTCTTTGGCTCGCAGAAACCGCTAATCATCGACTTAAACCGTCTAGGTAGCGCGCAGACGAGTAAAACCCCAACTCCTGCATTTTTGATGAAGTTGACATCAGAAAAACGCTCACAGCTTACTTGTCAGACCCAGCAGCGAGGGGCTGAATCAATAATGAAACACTGGGAGGAATAAAGCATTAAACAGGGCGTTCTGCAAGGCAAGCAGCTTGGGGGTCAAGTCAGGGGACCCAGCATGGCTGGTGGCCAATAGTCCCTTCTGCTCGGCTGCCAGGCAGGGAGATGGCCGGGCATGCAGCTTGTCCTCCATTGCTACAAGTCTGGTAGGCGACGTGACTTCTTGGGAAAACCTCTAGGCCTAGGCTAGAAGCCCAGAAACATGGAAATAGTATCAACTTTGTGGCCTTAGGCAGGTTATTTTTTGCCTGTCTGTCTCAATCAGGAAAACAGATCCTTGAACCAGGACACCAAAGTTCTTCCCAGCTGAGAGATTCAGTGCATTCGGCTTGAACTTGGGGATACATGGTTCAGACATAAAATCTGTTAAATGTCACAAATGAACAGGACCTGGGAAATCCACCATTGTTCTTTTCTTCACGCTGGAGAGAACAACCTCCTTCTGCCTGTTCTGAGGTTGTTGGCTTTGGGGTCATTGCGAAAAGACTTCATTAGGTCTCTGTTCCATCCAGGGAATGTTTGCAGATAATTCTCTGTAGAGAAAAGGACTCCAGGCTCCGGGTTTCACCTTTCCCCTTACGTCACATGTTTGGGTGCTGTGAGATCCTCAAGTTTGGAACAGAAATCTGTCCAGTCCCCAAAGACAAGAGGCTGGAAATAGGGAGGAAAGAGGACCCAACGGGAAGGAGTAAACTATGGATTCAGGCATCAGGTAGGAGTCTCTGCATTTACTCTAAGACGTCTTAGAGCAAGATGTCTTAACCTGCTCATTTGCCTTCTAGAACTTCAGCACTCAAAGCCTGGTCTATGGACCAGAGACACTGGCCATGTCTGGGAGTTTGTTAGAAGTGCAGCATCTCGGCGCCCACCCCCACACCTACTGAAGCAGGATCTGCAATTTTACCTTCAAGCTGGGGGAGCTCTGCTCCAGAGAGTCCCACCCACTGGGGACAGGGTGGAGGTCAGCTGCCGTGCACAGCTGTTGCAGAGTGATGCTACAGTTTCGCTTCATTCAGCTCATTCAGGAGTCTCTGGCCTCACAGTGATGGTTTCGCTTTGTGGGGAGGGGACACTTTTGAAATGTCTTTTCTCTGAGTTGGTTTATTTATGCTTATTTTTGAGACCAGATTGAGTCAAAGGACGTAGAGAGTTTCTGTCTGTGAGTTTAATGGCATTTCAGAGGACTTCCCCACTCTTTCGGTTGTGATAATAAAAATAATACATTCAGTAATCACTCAGGGCCTGCTAAGGGCCAGATCTGGGCTTGGGGAGGGGATCCCAGGCCGGGATATGATACAGTCTCAGGAAACCCATGAGGACACAAACTGTAGCCAGACAAATCCCCACACAAGGCCTCTAACTACAGAAAGGGATGCCTTAGACACTGGATTCACCTCTCTTACTCTAATGAACAGATGATCTTAACCATAGAGGAAGTGCCTGGAGGATTTATTCAAAACATTTGTCAGCCGGGCACGGTGGCTCGTGCCTTGTAATCCTAGCACTTTGGGAGGCTGAGACGGGCGAATCACCTGAGGTCAGGAGTTCGAAACCAGCCTGGCCAACATGGTGAAACCCCATCTCTACTTAAAAATACAGAAGAATTAGCTGGGTGTGGTGGCGGGTGCCTATAATCCCAGCTATTCTGGAGGCTGAGGCAGGAGAATTGTTTGAACTCAGGAGGCAAAAGTTGCAGTGAGCTGAGATAGTACTTCGGCACTCCAGCCTGGGCAACAGAGCAAGACTCCGTCTCAAAAACAAAATGTATTTGCCTGGATCATCTCTCAGAGCATCTGATTCAGCAAAACTAAATGAGAAAGAGCTTCCACGGGGATTTTGATTCTCAACTTTGACCCACTAAGAATTACTGCTATCTATTTATTTATTTATTTTATTTTTTTGAGACAGAGTCTTGCTCTGTCCCCCAGGCTGGAGTGCAGCTGTGTGATCTCGGCTCACTGCAGCCTCTGCCTCCCGGTTTCAAGCAATTCTCATGTCTCAGTCTCCCAAATAGCTGGGATTACAGGCATATACCACCACATCTGGCTAATTTTTTTTCGTATTTTTATAGAGATGTGGTTTTACCATGTTGTCCAGGCTGGTCTCGAACTCCTGATCTCAAGTGATCTGCCTGTGTCAGCCTCCCAAAATGCTGGGACTTCAGGCGTGAGCCTCCGTGCCTGGCCAGAGTTACTGCTTTGTAAAGTAGTCCAATTATTTCCTGTCTTTAGGAGCTGAAATGGACTTGTCTGTCATGATCAAAGGATCATGTCTTTTTCTGTGGCAGAGACTGCTTGCTGTGCACCAAAGTTCTTTCTCCTCCCCTTCATGGGCATACAGCTGGACCACAAGTCCCAGCCTCCCTTGGGGTTGAGAGTGATCACGTGATCTTGTTCTTACTAATAGAATGTGATGCACATCTCTTTGGGCTAAGTCTTGAGAAAGTGGCTGGGTCTTCTCTGTGCACTCTGTCCACTCCCTCCAGCTGAGACCTCAACTGCGAGGGTGATAACACATTCCCAAGGGATGTCAGAGACACCAGATGGAAGAAACCTGAATCCCTGAATCTCCACATGGAGTCGAGATACCTGCCAACTGTCAACATTCACTTTGGATATGAATGAGAGAAGGAATATGCTTGTTTTTTTTTGCCCTTAAAGGCACTGCATTCGAGGGTCTTCTTATATTACAGCAGCTTACCTTACCCCAACGAATAGGGCACCAACATTCCCATGCACATTCTCCTAATACATTTTACTTCAAGGTTCAGAATTCAAGACTTAGCCTTATACCACCGCACTAAAGCTCTTATTTGAGAGTGGAGCTTTTGCTTAATAATGTATCCTATTCTCAGGATGGAATCAGGATTCTAGTTTACTTTCTTTTTTGAGCAACTGTTTGTAAGAGTTGACATTTCATGGTTTTTATTCTTCCTTAGAGATCTTCCAAAGAAAAAAAGAGAAATTGTATGTTTTATTTATTTATCTATTTATTTAGAGACGGAGTCTTGCTCTGTCTCCCAGGCTGGAGTGCAGTGGCATGATCTCAGCTCACTGCAACATCTGCCTCCCAGGTTCAAGCGATTCTCCTGCCTCAGCCTCCTGAGTAGCTGGGATTACAGGCGCCCACCATCATGCCTGGCTAATTTTTGTATTTTTAGTAGAGATGGGGTTTCACCATGTTGGCCAGGCTGGTCTCAAACTCCTGATCTTGTGATCTGCCTGCCTTGACCTCCCAAAGTGCTGGCATTACAGGCATGAACCACCGTGCCTGGCCTGTATATTATTTTGAAACAGACAAATATTACTTTGTCTTGCAGTTACCACATGGGCCCACTGAACGCCTTCTTAAATCTAAGATTATGGGATTGCATGATCTTATTTTCCCTATCTCTTGAAAAATTTTGCCATTTCCTCAGCCTAGAAATTATTTCATCATCACTTATCCTAAGCTATGCTAAAAAGACTAAAATAATAATAAAGGGGAATGAATGACAATGGAATTGCCCAGGAGGATGATGGAAAAATAAGATCACCATCACTGTAGTGTCACCCTACAGTTTTCTTTCTTCTTCTTTTTGGGGCAAGATCTCACTCGGTCACCCCGGCTGGATTGTGGTGGCATGATCACAGCTTGCCACAGCCTGGACTTCCTGGGCTCAGGTCATCCTCCTGCTTCAGTCTCTTGGGTAACTTGGACTACAGGTGCATGCCATCATGGCCAGTTAATTTTTAAAAATTATTTGCATAAATGGGGTCTCACTGTGTTGTCCAGGCTGGTCTCGAACTCCTGGGCTCAAGTAATCTCCTTGGCCTCCCAAAGTTCTGGAATTACAGATGTGAGCCTCCATGCCTGACCCAGCCTACAGCTTTCTTACTGTGTTGTCATCAACAAAATTATAAGCCATTAACAATTTCAAAAATGTCTTCAAGTGTCTGTGAACCACACTGCCCACACCTTCTTCACTCCCGCCAACACCGGCTGCACCCCAAACCATGAGATGCTCGAGGAGGAGCATGAGGTGGCTGTGCTGGGGGCACCCCACAACCCCGCTCCACCGAGGTCCCCAGTGCTCCACATCCACAGTGACACCTCCTTGCCCGACCATGTTGTCTGGTCCCTGCTCAACACCCTCTTAGTGAACTGCTGCTGCCTGGGCTTCATTGCATTCACCTACTCCATCAAGTCAAGGGACAGGAAGATGGTTGGTAACCTGACCGGGGCCCAGGCCTATGCCTCCACCGCCAAGTGCCTGAACGTCTGGGCCCCGGTTCTGTGCATCCTCAGGACTGTTCTGCTCATCATCATCCCAGTGCTGATCTTCGAAGTCTATGGATAGAACAGGAGGCAGCCTCCAGGCCAGGAGCTCTGCCTACCACGTGTCTCCCACGCACTCCAACTTCCATGCCTCAACCTGCCCCTGGAGCTGCGTCCTGTATTAGCCGTTTATCCTCAAACACTTTTCTACAAGGGCATTCAATAAAGTGCATGTGTTCCTGGTTAAAAAAAATTCTTAAAGTATTGCACTTTGAATTTGCAAGTGCAAGCAGGAAAATCAGAAATGACGAGAAGCTAGGATCCAGTAGAGATGTATTTTGAATCTGACATCTGTATTTATAAGATGCATGTGGTTCTGGTCCATGTATAGCAGTTGATGAGAATTTAGGTGTATTCAGAGACTGTTGTCCATTTTAAGTATGTACCTTCAAAACCCAGGAAAATAGGAAATGAAAATTTAGGTTTGTTATGCTTAAATTCTTTTTAGAATATCTAATAATTTGTTCTGCACTCTCCCTGTATTCTTATTTTTGTAAGTTCTTTTTTTTAAAAGATTTAAAATATTTGAGTGGTCCATGAGTCCTAGATGGTAAATGATAATGGCTATTTTCCCTCATAAACTAAAGATAAAAACAATCTGGCCAGGTGTGGTGGCTCATGACTGTAATCCCAGCACTTTGGGAAGCCAATGTGGGTGAATCATCTGAGGTTAAGTGTTCGAGGCCAGCCTGGCCAACATGTAGAAACCCCGTCTCTACTAAAAGTACAAAAATTAGCCGGGTGTGGTGGCATGCACCTGTAGTCCCAGCTACTTGGGAGGCTGAGGCAGGACAGTTGCTTGAACCCAGGAGGCGGAGGTTGCAGGGAGTTCCCGCTAGTTTCGTGGGCCCACAAAAGATTTTATTTTAAAATCAAAAGAAAAATGAATATAATAATAAAATAATGAATCCATCCTAGATTATGTTCATTTTTATACCACCAATGGAGTCACAAAATAGAATTTAAAAAATTAATTTAATTAATGTGTAGCCCAGGCTGGAATGGAGTGGTACCGTCTCAGCTCACTGCAACTTCCGCCTCCTGGGTTCAAGCAATTCTGCTCAGCCTTCCGAGTACCTGGGATTACAGGTGTGTACCACCATGCCTGAATAATTTTTGTATTTTTAGTAGAGACAGGGTTTCACCATGTTGGCCAGGCTGGTCTCAAACTCCTGACCTCAGGTGATCTGCCCGCCTTGGCCTCCCAAAGTGTTGGGATTATGGGCGTGAGCCACTGCAGTTGAATTTTTTTACGTGAAAGATGAGGCCCACCAAGGCAGTAATGCCTAGTACCCATGAAAGTCATAAAGCAGCCCTAGGTGCAAGCTGCCGCGCCCCTTAGACCATACACGCCCACCGATCTGAAGTGTCAGAGGTGTCACTGCTAGATCGGCACACCATGTAGAGCACCTTGTGAGATCCATGGGGAGGGCCGAGTGCAGATTCCTAGAGTTCTAGGGATACAGTTCTAGAGTTCCTGCGTCAAGGCCAGGTCCTCTCTGGCAGAGAGGACTCTCCACTGGAAAAGCAGCTCCTGGCAGGACGCTAAACCACAGTAGATACAGAGTACTTCACCACGGGATGCAAGTGGCCACATGGCAGGGCTGCCTGTCCATTGTGAGCTGTGTATTGTCAGAGCGTCCAAATCGAAAGGTAGTTAGAGTGCTTCCAGTTACATGATGGAAATGGTTTACTTGGGATTGAGTCCAAGCAGGTTCAGGAGGCACAAATAAATTATATGAACAGATAGCAGGGCAGAACCCATGGAACTGCCTTTTCTAAACTGACACCTCTCTCTTTTTTTTTTTCCTAATGGAGGTGGGGTCTCACTATGGTTTTTTTGTTTGTTTTGTTTTTCTGAGACAGAGTCTTGCTCTGTTGCCCAGGCTGGAGTGCAGTGGCACAATCTCGGCTGACTGCAACCTCCACCTCCTGAGTTCAAGCGATTCCCACGCTTCGGCTTCCTAAGTAGCTATCGGCACGCAGCACCATGCCCAGCTAATTTTTGTATTTTTAGTAGAGATGGGGTTTCACCCTGTTGGCCAGGCTGGTCTTGAACTCCTGACCATGTGATTCATCTGCCTCAACCTCCCAAAGTGCTGGGATTACAGGCGTGAGCCACCACGCCCAGCTAGGGTCTCACTATGGTGCCCAGGCTGGTCTCAAACTCCTGGGCTCAAGAGATCCTTCTGCCTCAGCCTCCCGAGTAGCTAGGACCACAGGCATGTGCCACCAAGTCCAGCTAATTATTATTATTATTATTATTTTTTGTAGAGATGAGGTATTGTTATGTTGCCCAGGCTGGTCTCAAACTTCTGGCTCAAGAAATCCTCCTGCCTTGGTCTCTCCAGGTGCTGGAATTACGGGCGTGAGCCACTGCGCCTGGCCAGACTGATAGCGCTGACTCAGCTCACAAGTGTGGCCTCAGAGAGTTCTTTAGGATCTGAAGGAAAGAACTTGGCTGGTTCACAGGTAGGTTGGAGCCGTATATACACTGGCAAAATGGGGACTGTTAGCACCTGCCTTAGGGGGGTCCTAAAAGACAGTGGTGAGGCGAAATCCTCCTGGAGGGGCAGAGCTGTGGTAACCATCCTCCACGGCCCCCACTGCACAGAGAGCAAAGCAGCTCCCCGTGTGGGAACACATGACTCCTGGGAGGAGCTCATGGCGTGGCCCTGCTTCCTGGGGAAATCAGAACTAGGACCTCAGGCTTACTTTCTTCCAGGCACTCATTAAATCCCCACTCAATCTTATCAGGTGGGTAATTTTGTAATCCTCATTTGAAAGATAAGGAAACTGAGATACAGAACGATTTGATAAAAGTTGTTCAAAGTCTCACAGTTAATAAGTGGCCCTGTGGCCAGCGCGGGGACTCACGCCTGTAATCCCAGCACTTTGGGAGGCTGAGGCAGGTGGATCACCTAAGGTCAGGAGTTCGAGACCAGCCTGACCAACATGACAAAACCCTGTCTTTACTAAAAATACAAAAATTAGTAGTGGTGGGTGCCTGTAATCCCAGCTATTCGGGAGGCTGAGGCTGTATAATTGCTTGAACTTGGGAGGCGGATATTGCAGTGAGCTGAGATCGTGCCACTGCACTCCGGCCTGGGTGACCGAGCAAGACTCTGTCTCAAAAAAAAAAAAAAGGGTCACTCTGAGGTTCAAACTCATGCAGTCCAGCTTTCAACTAGTTTTCATGGTGGAGTAGAATGACTAGGACCAGGTTGGGAGTTGAGACACCTCTGGGTTCTAATCCCAGCGATGACACCGATATCTTGTAGGGGTCTTGGGACAAATTTCATCTGTACTCTAGGGATGTTTCCTTTTAAAAAATGGTTGAACTCTATTATCGTGAATGCTTCTAAGTTACTTGATTCTTCTGGGCATTCCAGGGGTTCAGGGTGGGCAAGGCACAGAGCGATAGACATATGAATAAGCCATAGTCCCCCAGGAGCACTGCAGCCCTCTCCCCGAGCGACAGCCATAAAGGCTGCATTCTTCACCTACCTGAGCAATTATGGGTTTGGAGGTTTTAAAATAATGATTCCGGCATGTGCTTTGTATAAATAAAGGTTGGGGCAGGGGGAGATGAGGGGAATGTGGGCCTGGCTCGTTTGTGCAGCTAAAAATAGAAATGTGAAAGTCCTGTAATGATGAGGCAGAAACTTAAAACAAATTTCTTGGAAAATTTCCTCCCCACCTCACATTGCCCAGGTATTTCCCCCTTTCGCCTGTGCAGAAGGAGCAGGGGAAATTGGGGTGAGGGGTGGGTGTCACAACACACACTTCCTTCCTGGCGCTGAGAAGGAGGGGCTGAGGAGACCAAACCGGGAACAGAGCTTCGGTTCAGGAGCCTGATGCAGGCTGACACGGGCCTTTGAGCTCCCTGAGTGGCATTTACAGCCACAGATATGGAAAAGAAAATAAATCTCCCAGACCCAGCATCTTGCTTTAATTAATACCATAATCAAGTTTCTGGCCTTGTGGAATGGAAGGATTTCAACACTCAAGGCCCCTCTGGCAGCCAAGCAAGAAGTGGGCCCCCTGGCCAAGTAGCCCCCAGGGCAATGGACTGGCCAGTCAGGGCCAAGAGATCAGGGAGGGTGTGCTCAGGGCTGCTGGACGGGACAGCAAGAGATGGGCTCCAGGTGTGAGGCAGGGGGCTCAAGAGGGAAGGAGGGAAGAGGAAAGCCTCTATGGAAGGTCCTATTAGGGTTTATTGTGCATTTTTCAATTGGGAAAGTTGTACTCCTCATTTTCCAGATCAGGAAACAGACCCAGAGAAATGGTGTGATTTGCCAAGTCACACAGCTAGAATGTGGTAGAGCTGGGAACTGAACCTAGGCTCTGTGAGTCCAGAGAGGTAGAGGGAAAACCAGCTCACTGAAGGATGGAGGACTGGTGCCTTCCATTTCTCCCCGTGGCCTGGGTGGGAGGTAGGGTTGGTGCCCCTGTCAATCAGGATCACCCACTAACTGTTTTAGCTGATAGAAGTCTTTCAAGAAGGGGCTGGGCACGGTGGCTCATGCCTGTAATCCCAGCACTTTGGGAGACCGAGGCAGGTGGATCACTTGAGGTCAGGAGTTCAAGACCAGCCTGGCCAACATGGTGAAACCTTGTATCTACTAAAAATACAAAAAGTAGCTGGGCGTGGTGGTGCACATCTATAATCCCAGCTACTTGGGAGGCTGAGGTAGGAGAATCACTTGAACCTGGGAGGCAGAGATTGCAGCGAGCTGAAATTTCATCACTGCACTCAAGCCTGATCAACATAGCAAGGCTCAGAGGAGGAGGAGGAGGAAGAGGAGGAGGAGGAGGTGGGGGAGAAGGAGCAAGAGGAGGGTGGAAGGGGGAGGGGAAGGGGAAGGAGGAGAAGGAGAAGGCGTCTTCCAAGGATTGAGAGGCGATGACCATATTTTAAAAGTGGCTTTAAAAGGAGAGAAGTGGTGGGTGCTGAGGAAGGTGGAGGAATGAGTGTACGGCGTCCAGGGGCTGCGTCTCCGGCAGGTTCCCAGCCCTCCTCAGGGCTAGGTGGAATGGATACCCAGGGGTGCCTCCAAGACACAGTGTCCACAGT